ATTAATATATGTACTATACAATGTACAGAAACAGACACAGCATGTTATCACCGCATGTATAGAGATTTAAAGATAGATGGCGCTATTAAAATCAATTCTAAAAATGAAAAAGATTAATTGACGCGATTGATACAATAAAAAAAACATAAAAGAACTTATAAATCAGGCCTGCATAGTAAGCAAAAAAGAAAGTTTGATCGTCGCCGAAATCAACAAAATTGTTAATAGGTCTTTTAAAATTTGATTTACCACATAGAGTACTCGGCGGTGAAGAATAAATGAGATTGTCAACACACAGTAGGGCAGCGAGTAATATAAAGATTAACAGCAAATATGAAAACTCATCTACTGGAAAAAACCGCAACCTGTCTTTTTGTATTACATTTGTGCAACACCACCATCTATCGATGAAATGGGTTAACTATTGTACTTTAGATTTAGATAATAAGGTTAACATATTTTTTTATATATTTATTACGTTCTTTATGTAATACTTTCGTTTACTGCGTTTTAGATATAATTATATCAGTATAGAACATTATTTTACATAATTAAATTATGATTAATAATATGATATTAGTTTAAAATGTACTAGATGACTCAACGAACGCCACCATTGAACAAATTCGTATCTATACCTAGTCAGGTCATAAATTCTGTCACATGTTTAATATAAAATAATTGAAACAAGTTTATTCATTATGTAACCATTTATATACCAAAATGAACTTAACAAAACATAGATTCTTATGACACTAAAATTTATTCAAAATGACCTCCGTGATTTCGAATACAGGCCTTCTATCTGCGCGGCCAGTCGTCTATCGCAGCACGAATGAGGTCCATGTCAATATCGGCGGCTGCCTTAATCAAGGATGTCTTGAGTGACTCCAAATTGGGATGAGGCTTTGAACACGCCTTTTCCTCCAAGTGTTGCCATATCTTGTAATCTAACGGATTCAAATCTGGACTGGAGGAGGGCCAGTCTTCGTGCCGGATGAAGTCGATTTCACGCGCCGCCAGCCAGTCTTGTGTGCTCTTCGCTCTATGAGCTGGCGCCGAATCTTGTTGGAATACCCAGTGCTTGTCATTGAATATGGTATGAGAAACAGGTTCCACAAGGTTCGTCAGGACTGTATTTTGATACACAACTGCATTCGTTTTTACACCTTTCTCACAAAAATGTACCTCTGTTAAGCCCCAATAAGAAACTCCCAACCATACCATGAGCGAGGATGGAAAATGACCTCGTTGGACACGCGGAATACGGTTGCTCGCACTGTAGTGAAGAAGCGAGCGTAAACACCTTATCATTTTGTTTGTTGTAGCTCTCTTCTACGGTAAAAATTTTTTCATCCGAAAAAAGAATTTCCCGATATTTTTTTCCCGCGTACCGCTTCAACAAAGCGCGGCATCTTTTCAGTCTCAGGTCTATTAGACGAGCATTCAAACGATGTCCTGTTTTTCTTCGATATGCCCGAAGCCCTAAGTCTTCATTTAACACTATGCAGGCCTGATTTATAAGTTCTTTTATGTTTTTTTTATTGTATCAATCGCGTCAATTAATCTTTTTCATTTTTAGAATTGATTTTATCAGCGCCATCTATCTTTAAATCTCTATACATGCGGTGATAACATGCTGTGTCTGTTTCTGTACATTGTATAGTACATATATTAATTTGTGACTAAAATCATTATGGAGACTGAAATTCATCAAACAAGTACATTTTTATAATTTTTAGAATTGTCTGTCTATCTGTCTGTCTGTCTGTTTGTTTATGAACGCATCACGTCTTAAGTAAACATCTTTTTTTCAAAGAAATCGTTAAGAAAATCATAAAGCGTATCTTCCAGTTCATTTAATCTTTGTTTTATTAAAATTGGTCAATTCTATCGAAAGTTATGATTATAATTTTGAAATGTAGGTTCGATTTTTTAAAGGCGTCATAAAACCTCAGAAATAATAATAAAATGAATCGTGTGTAAAAAACGTTCTATTATATATTTAAAACACAGTAAACAAAAAAATATGTTTTCCTTAAATTAAAAAAAGGATGTTTTCTCACAAAGAACGTAATGAAAAATGATGGCGTTGTAGAAATTACAACTCTTTCTAAATTGCGGTGTCAATATTTTTCACCGGTGAATCGTATTGAGACTCACTGAAGTAATTTACGTTATGGAGTCCACTTAAGCTAAAAGAGCCGTGTAGGGTGTAGGCTAACAGCACAAACATCATCAGAAACAAAAACCAGAAAAAAGATACGTACGCCCAAGCTAAACGTAGCAAAATTGCAACAAAAACAAAATGTCATGATGTTGTTTTATACCAAGAATCCATCTTATATCAAATAACTTTCCTTTCAGTTTTAAGCGTGTTCTGTTCCCAGTTCCAAGTCAGCATGTGTTATGCAATGACCTATGACGGTAAATAAAGCGCAAGGTAGAACTTTACGCATTGCAGGGGTGGACCTCAATACTGACTGTTTTTCACATGGCCAACTCTATGTTGCTTTTTCCCGCGTTGGTAGCTCTCGTAACATTTTTCTGTACTCCCCGGCTGTCTACTTCTAACGTTGTTTACACAGAAGTTCTATCACAAACGACTCAGAACTTTGAGCATATCGATTTATTTTGTTACCACTTATTCATACAGTAATTATATGAATCGTTTAATATTCTCTTACCTAAACGTCAAATTCTTTAAGTAAAACCTATACACGCGAGCTACGCTGCGGGCACAGCTAGTACAATAATATGAGTAGCCGTATATCAAGAAAACACTCGAATTAACCCATTCTATATTTAATATTGCTACTTAGAAAAAAATCGTTTGGAAACATTTTTACGTGGACGTCCGGATGTTGATTTTGTATGTGGTCACAAAAACTCCCCAAAAAATTGATGTATCGAGACCGGATTTTTTTTATTACGTTCAGAATTACTTCAACTGGTTCCGTATTTCATATCAATAGCCTAGTACGCGTAGTTTATTAATAAAATTATTTTCAAATTCTATTTCCATTAAAAATTTAAAGGCGCTTTTATATTTTGTTAGTCCATTGAAAGACAAAGGACAAATGTACCATACACCCTATATCGATTTTATAGTTTGTGTAATCAATTTATTTTGTGAACATTATTATTTCACATTACATCACACAGAACATTTCTCCATGTAGATGACACTATCTGTTAAAATAATAGAGCGCTAAATTTACAAAAAACATGAAAATAATATATTTTAAAAGTCCGGAATACATACATACGTACATAAACACTCACGCCTGTCACCCAGAGGGGTAGGCAGAGACTACGGACTTCCATTTGGCGCGATCCTGACACACCTCTCTCGCCTCTTTTACATCCATATATCTACGCATACACGCTCGTCGGTTAAGGGTACTCCTAATCTGGCCCATTTTTAATGTATCGCCGATTTGGTCGATAAGCCTTCGTCTAGGGCGTCCTTTCCCGACCCTGCCGTTCACTTCTGCAACATAAATTTGCTTTGTCACTCTTTCCTCGTTCATTCTTTCTACATGACCAAACCACCGAAGGAATACAATTTATTTTTTTCATCAAAACGCTCATGAGGCGTGCACTTTTGGATTCTCCAAACTATTTAAAACTTACAGCCTTTATGCAAAACGCATAATAAAGCAACATCATCTGATTACCAAATCATTAGGTTTCTACGCAATATTCTAGAGTAACCACTTCTTTTATACTACTACCTAAAAGCATAGTACATGCGAATATGGAATTATTTTACTGGGCATTATTTTTAGACAAGTTCAAATATTGAGAAGGTTTTATATTTTACGCGTATGTTTTTTTTATATGTATGCTCTTCGATTTCTCAGCCACGGCTGATCCATTTTTAATGATTCATAGGGGATAAAGATTTAAACATACCTATTTGAACGACATTCGAGTTTTTATTTTGATCTTGTGATATTAAGACTTGCGTAAAATAATTGAACTTTTAATAACAATTAAAACCAACTTCAAAAACAACAAAAAGAATACAAATAACTATACAAAATAATAAAAAACAAATACAAAAAAGAAAACAATGAAATAATTTAAAAATAAATTGCTTTTGAAGTCAGAGCTTTATTCGTAATTCTTTGATACACTGTCTTAGCGCCGAATTCAGAGTTATTTTTTTTTTGTTTTTGAAGTCGGTTCCTATTGCATTAAAAGTTTGTCTAGTATACAGCTTGTTACTACTAAAAGATTATGTATTTTAAGTGAATTGCAAGGCTCCTGAAAAGAGATTTCTAGCTTCAGATATATTATGAGCCGGTTAAGCAATTCTTAAATAACCGTGTAGCCTAGGGTGTATATACTTCTACATCGCCACGGATTAGCTACCCACGCTTATTGTTCATAAGCGTGGGTAGCTAATCCGCTACTCAACATAAGCTTCTCCTAAATATTGCCTCGTAGGTGTGATATTTGCTATAGTTACTTACGTGGTGAAGCCATGCTGCAGCTACATTATGGCTGTAGCATAAATGTCGACCGGGAAAGGACCACGCTCTCACAGAATACTAGCCTAAAATAGCAACTCAATACTGCTGTGTTTCGTATGGTGTGTGTGAGAACCGGCGACCCTTTTTACTGGAAACGAGGCATCATAGTCTTCAGGGGGGTAGTTCAGTGCTCTGCATTTTGAATTTTAATCGAGGATTGATGTAGATGTCTTTTGGTCACAGCAGCCACTTACCATCAGGTGGACTATGTGCTTGTTTGTCTCCCTAAATCTATAAAAAAAAGTTACCGCGTTAAGCAGGCGAGTTGGCTACTGAATATATATCAGGAAGATGTTGCTGCCTATCTCCATTTTCATTTGTCGCCTCTTACGACACCCACGGAGTGATATGGGGTAGTGGATTATCTTATACTGCCACTACATGGCGGATCTAAACTATATAATATCGTTAAAAAATATATAATATCATTGTTATAAATTTATATCAAAGTACCCATACCGTTGTCAATTCCTAGAGAATAAGAGACAGCTTCACCGTTGTCAGCAGTCGCAGTGACCTGTCCAATAAAGCCTGTCTGCGTTATCTCTACTTGAATGACATATGAATCTGAAGTGAATTTTACCGTAGGTAGAATAGGATTCTCTGCAATAGAGAAAGGACTATGATTAATATATTTGCCAATGAAGTTACAAAATTAAATATACTAAAGGTAACATATTTTAAGCGATTATTCACTAGTCATTTTTAAGTCCACTACTGATATCGGACTTTGAAATGATGTGTAGATTGGCATGCATTACTTGCGAAGATTCGCCCACACTCACCCCGGCTAGTGAGTGCAGAGCCTAAAACCTGTCTTTAGTAATGCTCTTCGCCTGCCAGCAGTACGTGAAATTAGGGTCCAGTATTTTTTCGTGAATTTTCCGCCATTAGACTGTTGCGTACAGGTTATGTCGGTACTTGGATGAAATTCCAATAGACAACTAGCGCGACATAACGAAAATGTAGTTCCTTAGAGTTATTACATACGTCGCGCAATAAATAACCTTAAACGGTTTACCGACAAAATTTTTAAAACGGCAATACAATTTAAAAATCATTAGAAAAGAGAATTCGTTTGGAACCGTCAGTAGAAGTGATTTATGACTTCGGTTGTTGATCGGTCCACTTCATTATTGCGCGGCGACAGCGCTACCACAGAAAGTTGACAAAACGTTATACACCACATTTGAGATCCATAGTTCGAGTAAAATTAAGTTTTTAACAAAAGTTAAAACCTGAGTGTATGTAGAGGAAATTCCTATAGAGTGCGGAAAGTATTCCTTATTCCTATAGATAATACCACATAATCTAAATATACTTCAATTACTTTATCAAACAATTATAAATTTTTGTAAGTATGCTTAGTCACATCTTATCAAGTGATTGTACGCCACTTATTCAATCATTTTAAATTAAGTTTGACGAAAATTTAAATTATTGTTTATAATTTTTTATATATCTGCTCTTTATTGTTAAACCTTTGAACAGTTAAGATGACAATGGTCTAAACAGAACTTATTTCTCTTTTTAAAATTACCCATTTTATCGCGTTTAATTCACATAGGACAAAAAAAAACGATCTATATCGACCAATGTAAGAGAGACTACGTTCACAATCAAGCTTGTACACTTAATATTGCACTTGACGGATGGTAAGAATTGAGTAATATTCTTCGGTGGTTTGTAGTATTAGAGAGAAGAGAATTTTGAAGCCTGCTTCAAAGTTCTCGATCGATAATCGCCACATATTCATTCGTCATTGTGCATGTTATTTTCCCCCCGTGCGATTGGGTGCTGTAAAGCGCTCGAAACGTCGAGATTTAAAACAAGATTTAAAAATTTAAAAATGTTTATTTCAATAAATAAATAAGTATAAACATTTTACTGGAACAAACATTTATTGTGTTTGCTTGCTGAGAAATTATACAGTTACGGACAGAATAACCTTTTACGAGTAGGACTTTTATATTTGGGAAATTTGATTCGAGTTAGATTACTAGATAGACGCAAATACCTATTTGAAAGAGGCATGGTAGCTAAGTGTTCGCCGTTAATTTCACGGTCGTCGAGCAATCTTGATCCAACCCTCGCCGGCACCAATGAAATTGTTTATTGAAATTTTAAGTACTGATTTACCACGTGGTTGGTGTTGTAGGAAAACATCGTGAGGAAACCTGCATGTCTTAGGAATAAGTTATTTTGAGGGTAGGTATATCAAGTCCACCAACACGAAAGTAGCAGTTTTTAATTAAAGTTATGGCCTTAAATATCCGGCAGATATAAATTTAATAAGACAGTTCAAATCTTTTAACGATCTTCACATGTAACTGGTTTCGCATAATTTATAGTTATTTATTAAGTAGTTTTAGAAAATACGACCAAGTATGAAATCAAAACTTATGTGGTTAGTTCAAGCTTATTAAAATCAAATCAATCAAATGTATATCATCACAGTGGAATAATTCGGAATGGAATAGAAAAAATGAAACCGATACAAGATGTTTCCTTTTCTAAAACAAAGTTAATATACATATTAAAAAAAAAACGTATGTTACGAGTATTTACCTAATGCAGCGACATCTAATACAAGTACAGCACCTGCGCCAGGAACGTGAAGTTCTAAAACTATATGAGAACTATTAATCCAAGCTGTTGTAGAGTCACCTAATTTTACTTTTACTTCTCCAGCATTTATTTCTCCTATGAAGAAGTCAGCATATTCTGAAAAATATGTTGAAAATCATAATGACCGTTACACATTATAATGAGCTTTTTATCGCGTCATTAAATATTTTTATATAAATTTCATCAGAATCATCATCACTATCATTACAGCCTATCGCAAGTTCACTGCCATACATAGTCATTCCCGGAAAACAACAAAGCACAGCGAGCCACCTGCACCCTGCAACTTTCTGCATGTTGTATTACCGGTAACGAGGCTGCTACTCGGGAACTTTGCTGCCATCGGTTGTTGGTTCTTCGATCTATATTATTAATTTAAGACTTGCAAATTATTATTAATAGGTAGTATGACTCCTTTTCTGCCTGAGCGTTCGCCTGGGTAGGTGCCACATTCCTACCAAATTTCTTTATTTCTGTCGCAATATAACAGTGCTTGCACTTCTGTGCTCCGATCTAGAGTCAGAGAGTCAGTGTAATTATAAGCTGTGAGGCTTCCTATCTAAATCTAAAACAAGAGCAAGAGATAGTCTTCTCTGTTTGAAGTTGACTCCAGGTGTCTATAGACTACAGTAGCCTTTTACCGTCAGGTGGACTATAAAGTTTAGTTGCCACTTCTGATATAAAAAATAAAAAACGTTATTAAAAAAAACAACAAATAAAACGACTGCAATCAAAACAGTCCTTTACTATTCAGTACATTACAGACATATACAGAAATACTGTCTTTTTATAGAGAATTTTCGAAAATGGTTTGTATTATCCCGATACAAGTAAATAGAGACTATTTAACAATAGATAATAAACAGTATATAAAAATAAATAAAAATATAATGTTGAAAATATAACCTTAAAATTGTTGACACTGATATAGAATGTACGTATTTTAATTATACAAAATTTTATCGTCGTAACATTTGACATTCTTAATTGGCATAAACGTGGGTTAAAATTGGCTTTAAGATAAATGAGATACGTCGACAGTCTCAGAAATAAAAGCATATAACAAAATGCTTAATTTACCTCCTAAAATGTTAACATTTATTCCAGAGTATCCAGACACACAGATAGATTCATGTGAAATATCACCGTCTTGCAAAACGCCTTTGTAAAGCAATTTGTTGAAAACGACATCGTTGTGTTCTGAATCTGAAATCAAAAACAAAGTATAGTTTTACATTTATTGCTGAAAGTAGATAACCAATTCGAAATCTAAGTATGTTGTTTTGTATTTCTCAATATAAACAAAAACCAGAGAATATGCTTGTGTTTTGTAAATGATTAAAATTTAGATGTATAAAATAAAGGAGATTGACTTGAAATGTTTATGTTCCACAATAATAACACATTCATTTCCGGCTTACTTATCGTTCTGGCAGTTATCTTATCAAAAGGAAAATTTAATAAGAGGCGAAGATAAGCTAATGAAAAAGCAATGATATAATTATATGAAAGAAGAAAAAGTCAATGACGAATATTTAAATCCCGCAACCTGAAAACTGTCCACTGACATGGACATGGAGATGGATTGATATGCTCCGAAAGGCTGCCTTATGCATGGCAGGCAAATTGGCGACAGCAGTAACAACTGTGGCACAAACATTTATATACAGAAGACTAAAAATTTTTTTATAGAATAATGGGGACAAACGAGCACACGATCCACCTGATGGTAAATGTGATACTGTGGTCCATAGACATATACATTAATACTCAATTAAGAATGAAAATGCGGAAGCGTTGTCATCCCGGCGGACTAAGATGGAATGCCTCGTTTTCATAATAAGAGTAGTAGTAAGTAGTATAAAGGGTCTCCGGTTCTCTACACTCACCATCGGAAATACAGCAGCATTACTCTGCTATTTACGTTGGTATTCTGCAAGAGCGTGTTCCTACCCCGGTCGAGCCGACCCTACAACCATAACATAGCTGCAGCGTGGCTCTACTACGTAAAAAATCAGTGCTATTGCACTGTTTATAAATTCAAAATAAGTTTTAAAAATAAAATTACTACTTAGATTGCGCATGAAAATGACGTGTTTATAATAACGACTATTTAATTCAATAGTTTCACTATGCTGTACTTACATTACACTTGAGAAAATTACTATGAACCAAACTTCATCATAATAGCTAGCAAGTAGCTAGCTTTTAAATATTCCTTACATATTATGTATTCTTACATATATGAAAGGTTTACAGGAAAGTCAAAAAGTTTTGTAAACATGTTGCTGGTAGTTTATGTTTGTACTAATATTTTTAGTATAATAATGAACTTAACACGAAAAAAAAAACAATAAGTTTAGCAAAATATGTCTATGAATTTGTGATTTTCATTCATTATAGTGTATGTAGTAACATTTATGTATTTATAATAGCAAATACATAGTCATCACCTATTTATGAGGTTTATTATATTTAGTTGATTTATATCTTACACTCATTTTATTTTCACGTGAAGGCTAATTAACCTTTGTAATAATTTAATGATCGAATTTGATGATCTACGTCTGATAAAGTTTAAACTTTATACAAACTTTTTATTTATTTAAAGTGAAATATTGCCAATTTATCTTTAAATTGGCAAGCTACCTTCAGGAATAGCGATGTAAACCACTGCGTGTGCTCCTACAGTTCTTGGCTTAGTGACTTGGACAATTAGTAACAGTTGCTGTTCACTTAAAACTTGCGATGGTAAACTTGTAGTCATAATATTTAATAAAGGACCTTCCTGTTTTATTCGGAAATAATTTGCGTATTCTGTAAAAACATATAAATAGATTTAATTTTATGATTTATTCATTAAATATTGAATTGAATGCTTATGTTATTTAAGTTAAGTATTATAATGCTAAATATTTCATTTTGACTTATATTTAAAATATAAGTCAAGATGAAATATTTTTTTTCACTTTTGTTATTATTTGTTGTTACATTTATAAAGTTACAGACTTCTCTAAAATAAAAACTTTTAAATAAACGAACTGAAAAAAAATGGAAATTATAAAATTAATAATTAACAAAATTAGTGTACTTCAAAATCACTACCCCATATCATTCCATGGGTGTCGTAAGAGGCGACAGAGGGAAACACAAACAGATTTTTTTTTATTCAATATAGATTATAAATAATACTTATTGAAAGTTTGATTACCACTGGTTCGGAAAAAACTTCTGTCCTGGGAAGAACCAGCAAGAAACTCAGCGGGACTATTTTTTTTAAATAACAGCTTACAATCATGCATGTTACACAAATTAACAACACAACAAATTAGAAATAGAAAATTAAAAATAATAATGAAATAGGGCCGATGTCCTAGAGCGTCTTTCTGACAGTTAACTTAAATAATAAAAACTAATACAATACTAGAGTTCCCAACATCCCTTCGAAGCGTGGCAAATATTGTAAATATCAACCTATGAGGAAAGCTAAGTTTGTGTTCAGCAATGGATTTGAAGTAAAACTACTTATTTTGACCCCCTTTACTTCAGAATTTTAAGAAGCTAATTTTGAAAGTTCGTTCTTTGCAGTTTGGATTTGAATGTTTTATTTTGATACGTAGGTGTTGTGATTGTAGTCGATTGCAATTTTTACTGCAAATATTTTTACTTTGTAATGGAATACATCTAAATATAAAGTAAAAATATAGATATAGCTGTCTTCTTTTTTGATCCGAGTGCGACTTAGTCTGCATTACATTACACAAGTACAACACATTGTAATTTATATCGAAGCATATTAATGAGAAATTAATATATCATATCTTACCTCCTACTAAGGAGAACCTCACAGTGTTATCGTAACCTTGTATTAATACTACATTTTCTACTGCTACTCCGACTTCAGAGTCATATGTGGCATTATAAATTTTCTTTTCAAAAATTGGTGTAACCATGTCATCTTTAATTATTTCCAATACAACTATCGTAATTGCCGTATTCCTATGAGTAGAAGCAGCTACTTTTATTGTTAAAAGAGTGTTCTCTAGGAGAATGTTATCGTCTAGTGGATTCATTTGCAACGTTATTATATTGTTCTGAATATTGGCAGTAAAAAAATTTGAATATTCTGTAAGAGATATTATAGTTATAGTAGCATCATCATAAGAGGTTTTATATTTTATAATTGACAATAATATATAGAAAATTTCAATTTCCCCTAAGTAGATTCGGGGTCGTTTTTGGAAAAAATACCATTGATTTAGAAGAAAAGATACATCCCATTATATTATTGCGCCATCCCATAGTATCGTATATCGAATCGACGCTTTTGGTATCACAATATTCGTGCTCTTATTTTATATTTTTAACTTTTGACAGTTATATCTATAAACTATAATAAAATAAAAATGCACTTGAAAGTGAATTGACACCAAAGATTTAAAGTTTATTGAACATCACGTTTATTATCTACCGTTTTTATAGCGCAATAATACAGGTGTGGGTTTTCCAAAATTAACGAGTTCGATTCCAAAAGTTTAGTTTTTATCAAAATCGGCTCCGAATCTCAACTCCTTTCTCTATTATCTTTACTTTCCAATTTAGCCATACCTGCTTAATGAATAAAACTACCTTTATGGCTTATAAGATATTAGAATTTATTTTTGGTTTTTTGTCTAAATGCAGTAATTTAAGGTTGAAAATACTTAATTTTTTTCTTGATATATAGACTATGTTTGAGCTATTTAACCCGATACTCCTCTAAAGTAAATTCGAGTAAATTAAGTACATACCTCTGAAATCCACCCAATAGGTTTGTGAGGCTTGAGCTAAAGTTACTTGAATTTGAATTAAAATATTAAAAATTACGGGTACAAAAGTATGAAAGTCTTACGAAAAAAGTTTTCATATAGATATGGAACTGATAAAATTAATGTTTTGCGATGATTTTCTGATAAGTTATTAGAGATAGAAAAAGAGAAATAGTTAAGAACATAAATTTTTTGGTTTACAATTTTACTCAATAAAGTTTCTTACAGTTTGTCTTTTATCTCTTTGAGTTTATTAACGATAAAATGTAATGTTTATTTAAAAAACTTACTATGCATGCATACACAGCGTCATGCCCATGATCCCTGAGAGGGTAGGATCAGTCTAAAGAGCAGCGAGCTAATTGGACCACTTGTAGTCAAAAGACAATATCATTCACATTATGAACTAAGTTTTCGAGGAAATAGCAAATAACTGAGTATAAAGTGGATTTTCGATAATTGAACAACTCGCCCCAAGACCAGGCTATTAAATATCTGCAGTATTTTTTTTTTTGTTTAAGTTCTACGCGCAAGCAGTGTGTAGCGAGTTAAATAATAATTTTAATTGAGAAGGCGGCTGGAAACCACTATTTGCTTAGGATCCTGTAATTAATTAAATTACACTGACACCGACACTGGATTGACCATAGGTGCTGCAAAGTACTCGAATCGTGAGTTAATGACAAAATCCGTAAAAGTAGTTTCATCCATAGTCAGTTGAAAAATTCAACGTGTATTTATGTATATTTAAGTTATAACTTACCACTATATATGTTCACGCTTATGTTAGCGTTTTCATTGTGTTCTTGTAATACCAAATTTGAAATGAAAAGAGAATTATCTTCTATATATCCCTTATAAAAATCTTTTTCAAACTTTAAATCTATTTCTGAAAATAAGTAAAGTTAAAAGTCAAAGTTACAGCCTATATACGTCCAACTGCTGAGCACAGGCTTCCTCTAATTTCTGAGAGGGTTTTAGGTTGAAAACAAGTATGTCAAGTAATATTATATTTTTATTTAAAAAAAAACATTGTAATACGTGAAATATCGCCATACCTTCGCCCAATTTTAATATAATAGTTGCAGTGGCACCACTCGTGTACTCCCGGTTAGCCTTAATTACCAAATAAATTTGCATCTGTTTTGAAATTTCGGGAGCTAGTTGCGATTTAATTCGTAAATCAATTTGATTTCCATTTATAACGAGGTCAAAGTATTCTTCATAATCTATAAAGAAAAATTGGGATATTAAATACCACTACTACAATACTCTTTTTTAATACATATTTTATAACGTTAACTTACCTTCTAAGCTAAATGTTACTTTTTTGTCATAGCCTTGGCTTAAGTAGATTATGTTCTCCAGAATAATTTCATGTTTTTCGGTATATTTAGCTAGATAAAAAGGATCCGAGAACATGAGATCATCAGGAAATTCAAATTCATTATCAGCTTCGATCAGAATCGTTGCATTTGTTGTCAGTGGCGGGTCACCCGTACGATCAACGTCCTTGTTTCAATTAATTAATAAATATAAATTGATTATATGATAGATATTAAATATAATATTGTGAATTAATATCCCTTAAATATATTTTGATGTCTGAAAACTTACCGTTGCACTAATCCATAATTTTATAGGTTCTGAAATTCTTCTTATAAACGTGGTTGTTTTTAATGTAGCTTTAAATTCTTTAGGCGTTGTAGATGTATCGTATGCTATTTCAAAGTATGGATTTTCTTCTATTTCGAAGTTAATTCTATCAGTAGTAAGATCAATATCGCGTACTATAATATCGTTAACGCAGTCAGTAATTAGAAATCCCGGTGGTACTGGCGGTGCAATTTTGAAATTATAATTATCACTTGGCTTGAATTGCGGTGCATTGTTGTTAGTATCTATAACGTTTATGGAAAATACCTAAAAGGGACACTATAATTGTTGAAATTATACAGCAAAAAATATATTTAATTAGGATAACAACACATTGTCATACAAAATATCAATAAAAATATCATACCAACACATGAGGTGACATATCACGTAATATTTTGTACCCGTTTAGAACACGTTTGGACTTGTACTAGTACATGTGCAGAAGTAGGGAACTTACGTGCTTATTACTGGGTTTTAAATCGAAACTAATTAAAAAACTTTATTAAAAATTTTAGTGTGGGTGGACTGGGTAGCAAATCCGCAAACAACTAATGCAATTATTGGGTTTCAAGAATTACAGGTACCACACAAAACAAATTAGAAATAGCTTGGTAGCAATCATCTTATTCCCAGGGGTTATTGTCATCTATAAATTCCTTAATATTATTATAACCCTTTTAATAGAAACTTAGTTTAATAAAGTTTTTGAATTTTGAGCAGGTCAAATTTTGTATATTTTTTGGAATTTTGTGGTAAAAGCGTATACATCGCTCCAAGAATGAACTACTGACTCGGTGGAGTCGAGTAACTGGTACTACTAGCTTGTGCTTGTTCCTAGTATTTACAGAATGAATATCACTGATATTTGTAAAACTACTTGTTACGGACAGCGAGAGACCCGCCGCCCCGTCGCCCCTTCGTTCCCCGTTACGTCCCGCGCACCCCGCACGCCGGCGCTGATCACGCGATATCGGGCAACCAATCAGCGCGCGTGCGGCGAAAATTGCCATCGGGCGGATAACCCCACGGAATGAAGCGCTCTCCTCGGGAATATAAGAAGGGCGATTTAGGCCGTGGGCGTTCATTCGGAAGCGTTCATTCGGAAGGGTTCATTCGGAAGCGGCACTCGAGAAGACAACAAGGAAGAATCAAGACAGAAAACCTGGAAGAAGACTCCATACTGAAGACCTCCCTCTTTGAATAGTGATTTAGTTAATAGTGCCGAACCCTTTGTAAATAGTGAATATAGTATAGTTAAAAGTACCATCTTTTCTTCGAGCAGTCCCCTAGTATAGCTAACCTCACACCGCCAGTTTAAAGTATAAATACAGTCCACTACTCTCCATCCACTTTATCTTGGTCCTTCGAGCCGGATAGCAGCCAGAAGAAGGAAGAAAGAAGAAAGAAGTAAGAAGAAACAAGAAAGAAGGCAGTTATAGAAGAAAGAACATAATTACAGAAGAGAGAAGATTATTATAGAAGATCTTCAAGGAAGAAAGAAGTTCGTCGACGAAGAGAGAAGATCGTCGGTACTAATTTCTTCCCTGTTTCTTGTTACGCCTACGTCATACACGTCTATTGTCTGTTTCCAGACAATTTCTTGTTTCTTAACCGCGTTTACGCGGCCAGTGGTCACTCCCTAACGGTGCCAAACTGTGACCATCTGGTAACGCCTTGTGGCGGGAACGACATCCATACGTGTGTCTTTTTAAAGACTGTACGTACGTCTTTTTGAAGACGACCGGAGGTCGCAACGTGGGACCATGAGGAAGACACGAAGCTAGAAGACACGGAACGATGATGACACGCCGGTAGGAATGCGCATATTCGAAGAAGCACCCGCGTCCCCGTCCGATTATCTCGCGATGGCACAAGCGCCCTCCGCCGCGCCCGCGCTCCAGGCCCCGCCCGCGCCCGCATCTACGCCCGCGCCCGCGCCCCCGCCGCCGCGCCCCGCTATGTCCGTGTCCACGACCGATCGTTTGGGAGAGGTTAGCATTTCCGCGCCGCGTACAGAGACACTCGCCGCGATTATAGAAGATCTTCCGTCTACAGAGATTAGTTCGATAGTACGTACCGTCGCGCCTGTAACAGACGTACATAGGCCCGCGCCCCGCGCCCCGTCGGTTCGCTCCGTTCGTTCAGCCCGGTCGACGGCTAGTGCGATAGCTAAATTAAAGCAAATTGAATATAACGCCGCGGAGGAACTAGCTGCAATTAGGAGGAAGCAATTGCAGTTGGAAGAAGATCTTATTAGGAAGAAGTACGCTAGGGACGTCGCGCAACTGCAAGAAGAAACAGATAGGGAAAGTGTCAACGAAGACGAGTTAGTTGAAAATAGGGTACGCGTTGATAGGTGGTTAGAGAACGTAGAGACTGTGCGGGGGGAGTCGCCTTCCCGCCCCTCTCAGCCCGCGCCCCGCATCGAGTTAGAGCAGACCCTACCGAACAGGGTAACCGGTTACGACCACAGTGAAGATGCCCAGGGGAGGACGGAAGCGAATAACGTTCAACCGCGCCGCATAGATTCGGTACAGAGGGAAGATGGAGTCGCCGTAGGAATGAACCAGGTGGATCGTCGTGTACGGGTTACGTCGCCGTCGCGCGTCCAACGCCGCACTCTATCGCCTACACATAGATCGCCACATCGCCACGCGGATCGTAGATCACCGTCGCCGCATAGGGATGTAGGTGTACGTAGATCGCCATCGCCACATCGCCGCACGGATCGTAGATTATCGTCGCCGTATAGGGATGTAGGTGCGCATAGGACGCCAGCGCCACAGCGTAGGCTAGAGAGAGATAGGGATAGAGATAGGTCGCTTACTCCGCGAGGAAAGGATAGGGGTATAGAGCGACTAGCGGAAGCTCTGGAGAATATGGTCAGAGTTAGGCCCGCTGCCGCGAAGCAGACGCAGGACTTGCCTATTTTTAACGGTTCGGCCGCGGAATGGTTAGCGTTCAAAGCCGCGATGAAAGAATCCACGCGTCTATATGGATTCACAGATACGGAAAATATGGCAAGGTTAAGAAATTGCTTACGCGGTGAAGCTAGGGAAGTAGTATCGGCACTGCTGTTTACCGCGAAGGATCCAGCAGATATTATGCGGACACTGGAGCAGTGTTTCGGCCGCCCGGAAGTAATTATAGATCGTGCGTTAGAGCGGTTCCGCGCCCGGGTCAAACCGCACAGCAATTAAATGCGTTCGCAATAAAGTTGCAAAATATCGTGTGCATTTTGCAAAACGTCGACGGCAAGGGATATCTGCAAAATCCAATGCTTACTAGGGAGGTAACGAGTAAGTTAAGCCCTCACTTACGGTCGCGTTGGTGTGATTATGCGGAGCACTACGGGAGTGCAGACGAGCCGGACATCGTTACACTGTCCAGGTTCATGATGAGAGAGGCTGATCGTGCGTTGAGTCATGGCTATACGTCCGTAGAGCCGACTAAGGAATCGCCCGTAAGACGAGAGGCGCCGCCGTCGAAAAGGATAGTGACACGCCGCGTAGAGAATAGGGCTCGCGACGTAAAAACGTTCACCGCACAGGAGGACACCGGTAGTGCCTCTTGTATGTGCTGCGGAGGTGAACACGCGATCGCCAAGTGTAGGAAGTTAGCGCAAATGGGTGTGGACGACCGGTGGAATTGGGTAAAAGAAGACGGGGTATGTTTTCTATGTTTAAATAGTAAACACCGACGGTTTAAATGTAAAGCAAAGAAATGCGGCATCGACGGCTGCAACGCCCCCCACCACGCCCTCCTTCACACCCGCAAGACCCGCGCACCTGAGACATCGGCCAAACCAGATGAGACCGTACTCGTCGCGTCTAACGTCGGTAGGAATGCATCCGTATTGTTGAAAGTGTGTCCCATTACGTTACGTGGACCACACGGTAAGGAAATAGACACGTACGCGTTGCTCGACGAAGGTTCGACTATTTCGTTGATCGATGACGACTTAGCGCGTGAGTTAGGAGCGGAAGGACCGGTAAAGCCGCTGAATATTAGGGGAATAAGCAATAGTCAGCGCGAGGCCGATAGCAGGCTAGTTAACATAGGCATACGTGGAAAATCACGCAGCGAGATGTATAGAATAAGTGCGCGTACAGTAACGAATTTACAGATAGGTTCGCAGTCGGTAAATAAAGAGTGTTTACGTCTAAAGCATTTACGCGACCTACCGAGCTCGGTTTGCTATGAGGACGCCAAACCGAGATTATTATTAGGAGCCGACAATTGGCATTTAATAATCACCCGTAATTTGAGGATAGGGCGTCGAAGGCAGCCTATAGCTGCACGTACGTTATTAGGATGGGTGATACAGGGAACCGTGCCGCGATTCACGTGTAGGGAGGACGGTGAAACCGTGTTACACGTCGTAAGCAGTAGCGGACGGATAGATAGGGACATCCGAACGTTCGCGAGTCAAGACGAGGAGATAACGGAACTCCTCAAACGGCAGTACGAGATCGATTCCATCGGTATCTCGCTAAGGAATATGCCGCGACGGGAAGAGGAGCGCGCTGTCGAGATATTCCAGCGCACCGTCAAGAAGGTCGGCGATCAATACCAGGTGGGACTGCCATGGAAGGACGACGACGTGCGGATGCCTCCTAGCTACGAGATGGCTGCTAGAAGACTGCGGACGATCGAGAGGAAGATGGACAAATCGCCGGAATTTCGAGACGCCTATACCGCACAAATAGATAACCTCCTGGCGAAAGGATACGCAAGGGAAGCCGAGGGGACGGAGAGAGAGGACCCTAGGAGCTGGTACCTGCCCCACTTTGCAGTACGAAACCCGAACAAGCCTGGGAAGACGAGAGTGGTTTTCGACGCGGCAGCGCGTGCGTCCGGTAAATGTTTGAACGATTATTTGCTTGACGGCCCCGACTTGTTACGGAACCTACCGGGCATACTGTTCAGATTTAGAGAGAACGAAATAGCCGTGTCAGCGGATATTAGGGAAATGTTCTTACGCGTTAAGATTGACCGTCGCGACCAACCCGCGCAATTATTTCTGTGGCGAGGTAACGAGCGATCCAGCCCACCGCGGGAATACGTTATGACTTCAATGATTTTCGGTGCGAGGAGCTCGCCGTTTCTCGCACATAGCGTTAGGGATCATAACGCGCGCGCACACGCTGAGACACATCCGTTGGCACTTAACGCTATCGTACGTAGTCACTACATGGATGACTACCTAGACAGTTATGCTACGGTAGAGGAAGCGGTAAACACTGCGAGGCAGGTTACGGAAGTCCACCAGCAGGCCGGCTTCACCTTAGCGGGCTGGAATTCGAACCACGCAGCCTTACTAGAAGACAAGCCGGAGGAATTATTAGCGAGCAAGCCTAAGGAGGTAGGCTTGAGACAAGACAGCCCAGGCAGAACCCTAGGGCTATTATGGATGGCCAATGAAGACGCCTTAACGTTTAACACATCCATGTACCGGGTACCGAACGAGGTGAAGACGCTGCAGAGGCCACCGACCAAGAGAGAGGCGTTGAGTGCAGTCATGTCGGTCTTCGACCCGCTTGGACTGCTGAGCTACCTCACCATCACCGCCAAGATCCTGCTGAAAGACCTGTGGCGGATGAAGAAGGTCGGATGGGACGACGAACTACCCGAGGAGGCAGCTGAGGAATTCCAGAGGTGGCTGCGAGTCGTCGAGGAAGTATCACGACTGCGGCTGCCTAGGTGCTATGCTCCTACGGGGGGAGTGGTAGAGCGTCAGCTCCACGTGTTCAGCGACGCAAGCGAACGTGCGTACGCATCCGCGGCGTATTGGCGATTACGATACCGCGACGGAACGGTTAAGGTACGATTAGTGGCGGCCAAGGCGAAAGTCGCCCCGATAAAGGCGCAAAACATACCACGGTTAGAATTACAGGCGAATCTGATAGGCGCGCGACTCGCGGAATTCGTGCAAGGCGAGCACAGAGTGGTAGCCGATAGGGTAGTTTATTGGACAGACTCCACTACGGCGCTCCATTGGATTCAAAACGATACGGCGCGTTACACCCCATACGTAGCACATAGATTAGGGGAGATATCGGAGAAGACGTCACCCGAGCAATGGAGGTGGATACCGACCGCAGACAACATCGCGGATCAGGCAACGCGCATTAATTATACGTACAAGGAAGAGAGCGACAAATGGTTTACGGGACCGCCATTCCTGTACGAAGAGGAAGATCGATGGCCTCGACGACGGGAAGAGAAGGCAGGGGATGAAGATGACGAGCTGGAGGAAGTCGTGGCGCACCAGAGCGACACCAGGGGCGCTCCACACCTGCCAGACATCGAGAGGTTCTCTTCTTACGAGAGATTGGTCAGGGCCACCGCTCGGATATTACAGTTCGTCGATGCCATGAGAGGAAAGGCGCACGGACTAACATTGGACCACATCCAGAAAGCAGAGCGGATGTGGATAGAGCAAAGTCAACAAGAGAGTTTTGCTGAAGACATCAGTCGACTGCAGAAAGGAAGGAACTTGGCAACCGGCAGCGCGTTAAGGAAGCTCGACCCCATATTCGAAGATGGCGTACTGCGAGCTAGAGGACGGATTGACGCAGCCGATGTGGACAGCCAAATGAAGAGGCCCATCATCCTGAACGGACGCCACCAGTTTGTAAAGCTGCTTGTGGAGAAGGCGCATAAGGAAGCAAGCCACGCCAACAGGGAACGGGTAGTGAACGACCTACGCACGAGATATCACATACTTCGACTACGACCGACCGTACGAGAAGTGGAGCGGAGATGTCTGCGGTGCAGGGTACGCAAGGCGACACCACGGCCAGCGGTTATCGGAGATCTACCACCTGAACGGTTAGGGGCATTCGCGCGACCATTCACCTACACCGGAATCGACTATTTCGGGCCTATAACGGTAACAATAGGACGTAGGCATGAAAAACGGTGGATAGCGTTATTCACTTGTTTGACGACGCGCGCGGTACATCTAGAGATAGTTTATTCCCTAACGACGGACTCGGCGATATCGGCATTGCGGCGCATGGCGGCTAGGCGTGGGTGGCCACGGGTCATCTACTCGGATAACGGGACAAACTTTCATGGGGCGGACACCGAATTACGACGGGCGATGGAAGAGTGGGCACCCCTGCTGAAGGACTACGCGTTGACTCGGCGGACGGATTGGAAGTTCATCGCGCCGGGTGCGCCGAACCAGGGAGGCGCATGGGAGCGTCTCGTGTGCTCGGTGAAGACCGCGCTCGAAGCCACACTCAATCAGAAGAGCCCACGGGAGGAGACATTAGCGACGCTCCTCACAGAAGCCGAAAACACCGTTAACTCTCGACCGTTGACGCACGTACCGGTCGACATCGACGAAGAAGAGGCATTGACACCCAACCACTTCTTGCTGCTGGGACCATCGAGCCTTCCAGTGACCGCGCCGTGCACGCCTAATGATCGTCGGGCGTGGAGAGCGGCGCAGGGACTTGCCGACGAGTACTGGAAGCGCTGGGTGAAGGAGTACCTGCCGACGCTGGTTGCGCGCGGAGACTCAAGGGACGTGCAGCAGCGCCCGGTACAAGAAGGAGACCTCGTCGTGGTGGCAGACGGGACCATGCCGCGGAACGTGTGGCCAAGAGGAGTTATAACGAGGACCTTTCCCGGACCAGACGGCGTGGTACGGAACGTCGAAGTGAGGACCAGGGGCGGATTGCTGCGGCGGCCGGTCAGGAGGATCGCCGTCCTCCCGAGTGCAGCCTAGGCTCGCAAGGCTACGCCGGGGGGAGAATGTTACGGACAGCGAGAGACCCGCCGCCCCGTCGCCCCTTCGTTCCCCGTTACGTCCCGCGCACCCCGCACGCCGGCGCTGATCACGCGATATCGGGCAACCAATCAGCGCGCGTGCGGCGAAAATTGCCATCGGGCGGATAACCCCACGGAATGAAGCGCTCTCCTCGGGAATATAAGAAGGGCGATTTAGGCCGTGGGCGTTCATTCGGAAGCGTTCATTCGGAAGGGTTCATTCGGAAGCGGCACTCGAGAAGACAACAAGGAAGAATCAAGACAGAAAACCTGGAAGAAGACTCCATACTGAAGACCTCCCTCTTTGAATAGTGATTTAGTTAATAGTGCCGAACCCTTTGTAAATAGTGAATATAGTATAGTTAAAAGTACCATCTTTTCTTCGAGCAGTCCCCTAGTATAGCAAACCTCACACCGCCAGTTTAAAGTATAAATACAGTCCACTACTCTCCACTTATCCACTTTACTACTTTTATTTTTACATTTTCATAAATGTATTGAGAGACCAAACTTAATATATTAATTTCCTTAAATTTTTGTCGCAGCAATTCTTTAGGCTTTATATCATAAATTTCTCATTTTGATTCTTAATTGAGGATAAATGTATATGTCTATGGGCCACAGCATCCACTTACCATCAAGTTGGACTGTATACTCGATGGTCACTCTTATCCTATAAAAATAGCAGTGATTTTTTAAAAATAATAACAATAATAAATAAAAGTATAATTTTTTAACATGGCTAATGGAAATTACTTACTAAAGTGCTAAGCGTGCCGTCAGTGCATCTAAAAACTACAGTTACTCCCATGGAATCTGTAGTTTCATAGTTTTCGTAATGTTGAAATTGTTCATTCGTAGAGATGGTGAATTCATCTTCATTATGGAAAACACTTAGATAAGGACCCGAGTTTAATCCTTCGCTAAATCTTACGCTGTTAATTGCTGTAAAAAAAATAAACGGTAAGATATTAGTATAAGTGCTGATTTTTCAATCGGTAAAAGTTATCATTGAAATAAATTATCACCAGAGTTAATATAAAAGTGTAACAATTCAACTATTTTAATAATTGTAATTTTAAAATTGCTTTCTAGTTTTTATCCTACGAATAAATTTTATTCGAGGATCGAAGAATCGACCCTTAATAATATTGTCGATTTAACAAAGGAATATACATGCTTTAAACAATTACTCACCTGCAATACTAGATGTTTTTCTTTGGAAGAAAATACCTCTGTCCGTATCGTAAATACTCTGAGTAACTGGTAATAACCAGTTGGAGACATTTTCCATTGTGCATGCTATAATAAAATTAATGCAATGACATATTATTTAGCAACTTTATGGTATATAATAATTATTAATTATTGATAATTCTTATGTAATAACATTTGGGTCTTTCAAATAAAAAATCAAGTGAAGCTCTTTTAACCGCTTGTTGAGCGGCTTTTATCTTGTGGATCCTGACTCTTGATTTGAGTTACTAGTGACAATATTAATCTACGTAGTGTTTGTGGTCGTAAAACGTGGTCGCTGATCATGAGGTCCCGGGTTTGAATCCCGGGTCGAATCCAAATCAATTAAGTTTTTCTGTCAGGAAGCTTCTTCGACACGTGCCTCGGAAAGCACGTATCGCCGTGGATCCTGCGTCTGATCTCTCTCCAATCATGTCGGATTATCGTTCTATGGGACTGCGAGGGAAAAGAGAGTGCACCTGTGTTTGCGCATAGGTATCCTATCCTGTGCAGATGGCTAGTCTCCGTTAAGATTAGCCGCCGTGACCGCAATTCGGTCTGGAGAACATTATTCTGCCGTCATAAGAAAAAAGGGCGCATCGAATAATTTTTGAAAAAATGAGTTAAATATACCATTCGACTCAAGATAAAAAGACGCATCTACTCAATTTTTTTAATTTTCAAAAATATCAATATTTTACAAAATATCGCAAGAGTTTTAGACGTAACTGTTGATCACAGATGACATTTTTTTTTTTAGGAAAGACGTATTCAAATTCAACATAAAAGAAAATACTTATTTAACCAGTTGCTACGTCGTCTTTAACCATAATTGCATCGATTACTTAGTTGGTAAGACGTTGTAAATTAATAGTTTTAATTTGAAAAGACGCTTTTTGTTTCTTACGTCCAATAATCTTGGTACTCACAGTGAATAAAATAATTATAGGTTAGGCGCAAACGACATCGCGTTCTTTAAATAGCACATATATTTCAGTAGACCGGCGTTAAGTAATTAATCATTTTTTACAAATATGCCATGGTCAGAGCAAAGGATTTTTATAAGACATAATTTAAAAATTTGTACAACCGACTTCAATATATATTATTCAGGATAACTCAAAAACTATTGGTCAGACCTTGATCAAATGTATATGGGACCACAAGATAAGCATCAGTTTTCAAATAAAAAAAGAATCATCGAAATCGATTCACGTAGAACAAAGTTAAGAGGTAACACACATAAAAAATCATATAGTCGAATTGAGTACCTCCTCCTTTTTGAAGTCGGTAGAAAATACTTCTACGACGCGACCAGAAGACCCAAAAGAGGTGAAAAAAAACTGAACAGGCAATACTTACTTTTTAATGGATAGCGCTTGTACTAACCTAAAGACATTTTTTATAGAAACTTTGGGCTTTAATAGGATAATTTAAAATTTGAAATTTTGTATAGTCGACTTCAATATAAGTTATTAAGAATAACTCAAAACTATTGGTCTGATCATGATCAAATTCATGTGAGACCACACGAGAAGTATCAGCTTTCATATAAAAAAGAATCATCGAAATCGGTACACCCAGTAAAAAGTTATGAGGTAACACACATAAAAAAAAAACAAAAAACATACAGTCGAATTGAGTACCTTCTCCTATTTGGAAGTCGGCAAAAAAAATGATAAAGTTGTCAGAAATTCCAATCTCGAATCCACGGGCGTATTTAACTAATATGTGTGCCAAATAACTTTTCGCAGAGGTAATCAATACAAGCTTTTTTATAAAACAAAGTTCGATGGTGATGAACATTCACTGGATTTCTTGAGGGTAAAAAATATTAAAAATGTAATACTTGCTCCCAAGAAAAATTTTACTTTCAAAGGTATTACATCTGAACGAAAAAATAAAATAATTAGGGAATCGGGGCTACTGATGCCGGAAAACAGAAGAGTGTTTTGGCAAAACTTGCCAGTGAATGATGATGCGGTTGATCTTCAAAGAATTATGAAGACTGAACGTACAAATCTTATTATTTTTATAGTTAAGGGTATTTTGATCTCACACTTTTAAAAAGGCCAAGGGTAGCTTCAATCTCTGTTTAGCTTTAAGTGACAAAAATATCTGTGATACTTCTCTTTTATAGTATTTTTTAAAAGAAAGAAGTTGACAGAATTACTTAGTATGTGGTAGAGAAAAGTAAAAAGGCCTTTAGCCGGTTTTTAGTAGTTAAGGATAAAGTAACTTTGTGTTCTTTTACTTTTTAGATATCTACAAAAGTGATTGTTGCTCAAATATTGTAACAATTTAGTTAAATCCTGATTAAAAGCAATTTGTGAATAATTTTATAATTTGAATTCACTGATTACACATTTAAAAATGTACGAATAAGTGACAGTTGAGTTTTATAGGTATAATTTTGGTTTTGATGCAGTGAAAGCAAATTTTAAACTATTATAGTTTTTAGGTATATTTTAGTCATGTAATTGTTACTCAATACTTATGATAATTTACAAAATCACTGAAGGGAAACTATTCATTTTGATTTACTGATTGCAATAACAATAAAAGTGTGCTACAAAAATAATTAATAAGTAAATGATTAAATTTTAGAGGTATATATTTTGTTTCGATGTTTTGAAAGTAATTTGTGTTCCTTTAAGTTTTTGGTGTAAGTATGTCTTCTAAATGTAAAGTAGTGAAAATGGCGATTATAGAACATTATATATATTAGATAATGGCGGTTATGGAAATAAAGCACGCTCCATAACCTTAACAAATTTTTGAGAGATCAAAAAATGTATAGAAATACATAGCTAAAAATATCTTATAACTCATATAAAATTTTTATAATAGTAATATCGATATTTACCATAACAAACGTTACATGATCTGGTGAAAAGAATACTAAAAATTATTGTGTATATTTTGTTTGTCATTATGCATTTCTTTGTACAAGTTACATGCCTCGTAAACTAAGCTAGCTCACTTTTTACTGATAACACCTGATATACGATAGAAAGTCATGAAATAATTTACACTTTTCAAAGCACTTCTTTCACCACGTTTAAGATTATAAAACGGATTACGGAACTAGTGTGTTTTATAAAAAATTTAAAAGAAAACTGAAATAATACGAATTACAATAATCGATACTAATATTATGTACACTATGTTTACTGTGATTACTAAGGTCCTATCTACCTATTCATATCTTTGCAGGAAAATTGCTCGATAACAATTGTGTTATCTTTTCGCAGTGATATGAAAAGAACAATGATATGGCTTAAGAGATTGAAATAGTTGTCAAAATGTATCTATTAGAGAAATCGAACATTTTTAAGATATACATAACTAGTATGAAATATGACATGCTTGTATAAAGTAAATTTATATTTTACTTTTATTGATTTATTAATAAATATAATAAAAAGTGATTCAAACACATAGACAACGATTAGAAAGTTATATACAACATGAGTAGTGAAAATATACTTTTAGCATTTATTTATTCATTACAGCCGTATCAAAGTCTACTGCTCAATTAAGACCTCTCTAATAGATTGCTTCATAGAGGGGTGATTAGGCAAACGATTTTTTTATTTATTTGAACTGTTATCAGAAACACGCTGCTGCTCATCTCCAGTTTCATTTCCCTTTGTCGCGTCCTACCACGCCTCAAACTAATAATTCTGATATTTGAAAACGTATTACTTACGTTATTACTGCTTCATATATTTTTAAAGTAGTTTTTTTAAACGAGTGGTCCACGTATTATATAGCTGATTTATTGTTTTATGAAGTGAAAAGAAGTTACATTGCGTTAAATCAAGGTTGTAAAAAAGGTCACCCAAAAGCTTAATCGGTGTCCAGGAAGTCTTTAGTTTTAGTGAAGCTGTACCCCATGGAGCTCCACGTTTAGTTGGTTGTTGCTCACGGCAGTGAAATTTTCTACCCTTATGGCAAGCATATACCATTCGCTATTAAGGCTACTTTGATTTCGTTAAGGAATTGATACCAGATATCCTGTCGAAGCAATTAAAAGGTTCCTTGAGCTGCTCAATTGCTTCAGTTTGGTAGGCATTGGTTCATTTTGAAACAGCCAAACTGTTGACTGACACTTTGCTTCTGGATCGTATTGATAAATCCAAGACCTGTGGTAATGCCGTAAATACGCCGAGAAGAGCCTTTTTCAAATTTAGTAAACTTTTGAGCATCGGCGAGGTTATGCGACACCCAACGAAATCGAAATTATCCACTTTACGCGTGGGTGTCCATTGTTATCGTCTTCCGGTCCTGGGTTCACGAGCTCGTCGCATAATTAAGTTTATTTTAATCTCCCAGAGAATTACAAAACCTTTATTAGATTAATAACATAATTTTAATAATACTTAATAAATGATGATTAAATAATAACTGACGCCTTCCGCTTGTCAGCTTCCGGCGAACCTAAGATTAATATTATTAAATGTGTATAAACAATTGTTAATAGTGTTTAGTCGTTGCTATATTGATTGACAGTTATTTTATAATTTATGATGCAATATTTATAGTAATAAGAATATTAATGTTCATTATTAGGTTATTATCTAAATTGTATAAAAGGCCGCTGTGACGGATAGATCAGTCAGTTGTTTTGTAACCGCCAGTAAGTAAAGGTGTGAAGAGTAACTCTGTCAGTTTGTGAAAGTAATTACAAAGTATATATATACCAAGTAAAAATATCGTTTATCTGCGGTTAGTTGTACCTAGTCTATCCGCCATCTAAGTACATTTCAGAAGTGGGATAATGTCAGGCCCATATATTCAAGGTATTGGCGCAAAGAAACGAAGGTATAGAAAAAATTTGTCTTCCGAATACAACGAAAACCAAGATGTTTTTTCTTCAACTAGTGATGAGGATTCCGATCACGAATACCGCCGACAGAAAAGGAGACATGTAACTCAAACCGTTGCTGAAGTTATTCCAACGTTTCAGCCAGATGAAAAAACAAGCAACGTCAAGGGTTGGTTGCATAAAATCGATCAGTTGGGTGAGGTGTACAAATGGAATAATAAGGATCG